CCCAGAAGACATAATAGTACAGCAGATGTTGTACTGTTATGTTATGCGACTCTTTTCCAGATGTTGGACTGTACCTCCCAGCATTCCCTCACTATTGGCTTTGCTGGCAAAGACTGGCGGGAGTTTCTCTCTGGCAATATCTGGATTCCCACTGATTTTTTTCAATGGAGATGCTCTCCACCAAGGACTGAATATCTGAATGTGATTTCCCCCACCCTGCATATTGCTTCTTTTTTCTCTAGGTCGTTTTTTAAAAAACGTGATATTGTTTAAAATATTATTGATTAATGGACTTCAGATGAGAGACACAAGTCATCACGGTTTGCAGGAGATGATCTTTTCTTAGGTGGGATGGCTGACAAATAGTGCAGGATAATAGAGATGGAGGGGGCAGCATTAATCGATGGGAGCTAATGACAGGAGATGCTTTCTTGATAGCTAGCAATCTTTCCTCAGATTGGTGACATGTTTTATTTGGAAAGAGAGAGAAAGAAAGAGAGCACTAAACATTTCTAGCTGCAGTTGTCAAACATTGAAGTAGAAAGACTTGAGCAAGGAAGACATAGTGGCTGCCTTGACTTTGCAAGACCTGAGCAGGGCTGTTGAGGTTATAGGTTGACTGAGGTCTCTCATTCATAGAGTCTCAATAAATCGACTTGATGGCAGTGAAAAACAAAAATCAGGCTGTGAAGGCATTGATGAAAAGCCATGTTTTAATGACTAAATGGAGACGGTCGTACTTTGGACATAGTATGGGAAGACATGGCTCTCTAGAAAAGACCATAATGTTTGGTAAGGCTTAAATATCCTGAAGGCACCAGATTCCCCTCTGATCTTGGAATATAAGCAGGGCCAGCCCTGGTTAGGACTTGGATGGGAGGCTGCCAATAAATCCCAGGTTCTGTAGACTCTATTTCAAAGGAAAGAACTAGCCAAACCACCTCTGAGGATGCCTTGCCTAAGAAAACCCTATGAAATTGATAGGGTTGTCATAAGTCGACAGAAGACACACAGAAAATAACACAGATCCTAAATACCCTCAAGGCACCAGATCCCTTCTGATTTTGGAAGTTCAATAGGGTCAGCTCTGGTTAGTATTTGGATGGGAGACCCCAGGCGCTGTAGGTTACATGTCAGAAGAAGGAACTGGCCAAACCACCTTTGAGGATTCCTTGCCCAAGAAAACCCTATGGAATTCATAGGGTTGCTCTAAGTCAACAGATGACTTGAAGATACAGTCGCACACCCCCACCAAAGGCACTAGATCCCCTGTCTGTTCTTGGAAGCTAAGCAGGGTCATCTCTGGCTAGTACCTGGATGGGAGACCTCCAATGAATCCCTGGTGCTGTAGGCTCTATTTCAGAGGAAGGAACTGGCAAAACCACCTCTGAGGAGGATTCCTTGCCTAAGAAAACCTTGTGAATTTGATAGGGTCACCTACACACTCCTACACAGACATAGAATCATAGAATCATAG